CACTTAGATTGCACCCGAGGTATCGTTATCTCTAATCCAACCTCTAAACCCTCGGTTATGACTCTCGTCTATACTCCGGAAGTGATGTTGTTCAAACAACTACCTAAATATGCACTCTCTCTCAAGCAGATACATAATAAATAGAAACGGCTAATTGAGGATCCTTTCAATTAATCACAATCAAAACATAGTTGAACAAATAGAGATTAATCTACCAACTCAAAACTATATTAATATAACAATCAATTCATCCCCAACGGGTTTCACCAAAACCTTAGATTAGAAAAGTTAGCTACTCATGAAAATAACAAAAATCACAAAAGAATTCATATTCAAAGGTAAAGAACAAAGAAGAAGATTAAAGATTGATGCACAATGATCCTCCTTGCCTCTTGCCCTTCCTTCTGATGTTTTTCACTTTCAAAAATCATTCTCCTTCTCTCTTGGCCGGCCTCCCTCATTTAATATAGGGTTTAGGGCTTAAAATCCCGTATTTTTTACTTTAGTCCCTGAAATTTACGCGTCCTGCCGCGGTCCCACCGCGGTTACGCCAGGACCGCGGCCAGAATGTTCCTCTGAATCTTTGGTAATGTTCTGCCGTGGTCCTACCACGGTCCTACCGTAACTACGGTTTTTCACCCTGTTCCGTTTGGAAGTTAAAAAAACGTAAAACATGAAAGTTGTAGCTCTTTGAGTTAGCTTTCCAACCATATATTGTGGAGCCCAAATGGAGTTCTGAGCAAAAGGTTATGTCTATTTTACTAGACAGTGCGCAATATGCCTCATCGAGTCTTCGTTTGATCTCAACTATCAAATTTGATCCCGGAACACAATCCCGGCTTAATTCCTTGAGCTTTTACTCAGACTTCAAAGCTTAAAATCACTTAAATTCATTCCATAACATCTATATATCTCGTAATCACTCCTACAAGGCATAAAACACACAATTAGTGCAAAACACTAGCGATTAAAGCGCAAACTCAACTAAAGTGCAGTAAATTAGAGTGTAATAAGCGACTAAAATACGTAATTGTAGCCTATCATCAACACCCCAAACTTAAATCATTGCTCGTCCTCGAGCAATCAACTACACTTTTTTTATAGACACACACCTTTTTAAACAATTTTCCTAACTCATCACACCAAGAGTATTAAAGTAGACTAAGCACAAAAGCGTAACATCTTCACCTCAAGATTTGACTCACAAGTACCACAACGTTATTCACAACTCACCCAACTTACTCTAATATAGAGGTCACTGACATTACCTTTCCTTCATGAATCAAGTGCCCTCACACAACAAAAGAGAGTAGTTCCACACAATAAAATTTAAGAACACTAGGAACTCAAGATAAAAGAATTCACTCACTCTCAGGAAATAACATTCATATGCCACAAAAGATGCACCATAAGCTTGCTCGTAGTGTACTACTCCACTAATCGAGCTCATTCAATCTAGGATCAATTAGGACTTTATTTGGTTGTAATGTAGGCTACGGGAAGGGTAGGATATATTTAGATATAAGAGTGACTACAACCTCCCTAAGCACTTTAAATACATATATTTTACATTTAAAGCCCATACTTATGTCAAACCAAAATTCCACTTCACATCAATGTGAATTACCCCATTCTTCTTTAAGCACCACTTACGTCAGAGCCACCACTTATCAAGGATTTTTTTTCCCACAACAATCCAACTATATTTTTTTTTCAATTCAAGTGGCTCTTCCTTTTTCAAAACAGTGCACCTTTATCCTTATTCAATTAGTTCCACTCAAAAGCCAAACCAACCACCCCACACTTTAACTTTTACAAAGTTCATAACAATTCAAGTGCTCATGAGAGGTGAAAAGGTTCAAATAGATGGTTAATTCAAATAAATGGGTAAGGCTTGTAATGTGGTTGCCAAAGAAATAGGATTAGAGGCTCAAATGGGTTAACTATGATACATAACAATTAGGTGGGTAAAATATACATATCTGGCTCAACAAGAAAACACCTATATCACTTCCAAGACTGAACAACACTACTATTTCACTTTGTAAACACACGGGGCAAGTTCTAGGCATCAAATGCAATGCACAGAATAACACCAAACCTCACACACACATGGCACATAACTCACTCAGGATTGGTTTCATCAAGACACCCTAGTCAGAGCAATTAAGCAAATTTAAGATCATACAATTTAAGGTACTTATACAAGAGTAAAAAACTGAGCCTAAGCATCACAGCCAAAGTACTCACTATTCTCAAGGCATATCAAAGTCAAGAGATATTGCTTCAATTCAAAACACAACACAATGGCTCCAATTCCTAAAAAAAACTAACTACACCCGGTTCAAATAAAACCCTTGGAAAAGAACCGCGGCACAAAGAAAAACCAAGGGGGAATTGCTACACTACCTAACAAAAGAAAATCTTTTTGGTATTTTCTTTAGACTTACTTCCCTCAAGAAAACTGTCTAGAAGATCTGTCATCAGGAAAAGTCCAATCTTTAAAAAAAAATATTTAATTAAACAAACACAGCTAAAGTAGCATGAAAAGTCACCCAGACTATCTCATCACCCCACACTTAAAATTATGCATTGTCCCCAATGCACAACATAACTGATAGAAGGATAAAAGAGACTCCCTGGTAGGCCAAAGGCTGAAGCACTACAGCTCATGGTGTACTCAGACTTCTCCCCAGCTTGGTCCTTCGTGCGGGTACCTCACACTTAGTTCCAGCCATTTGGTTTGCTGTTGCATCCTTCCAATACCTTTGCTTTCCATTCTCCTAAAAAAATAAATAATTGACACTACAAAAATAATACAATTAAAAAAAATAAAAAATAAATAAAAGAAAGCAATAAAGCTGGGTTGCCTCCCAACAAGCGCTTGATTTAACGTCGTGGCACGACGCGAATCACTTTTTGCCTCCACCTCGAGCTTATGAATTGAACCCCAAGTTTTGCTTCAAGCTTATGATTATGGTTATGGGGCGGTGGAACGAATGTAACTGGCCCAAGGAAATAATGTAGTATTCTGCATTCCTTGGCCTTTGTATGAGGTATGTAATCCTGACTTTCCGGCAAGAAGAATTCCAGAATATATGCACCATGTTCCTCATTCCTTGACTTCTCAATCGGCTCGGATGACTCTATTTTCATATCGTCATCCAAGCACAATGTAGAAAAATATTTGGAGTGAGGACTAATGCGCTCACGCACATGAACTTCAGGATTTTCAGCATCCTCAATATCAATGATACTAGAGTCAACAAAATTTGTATCCTCAATGTCCTTGGCTGACTCTAGTCTCACTTCTTCAACATTGACATAATCAAATTCTAGTTGGCTAGGTTTTTGATGTTCTACTTTGACCTCCCCAATTAATACCTCAAATTCATGCTCTTCTTGGCTACTATCATCAATATTGGATTGTTGAGCCTTAAAAGCTCCAACCACTTGACTCAATCGAGCCTCCAACTTGCGAATTGTTGCCTCTTGCCGTTCTATGTGCAATTGTTTCTCATTGTTTTGTTCCAGAAGGCACTTTAGCATATCCTTGATCTCCTTCAAGTCCGCATTCCCAGGTTCTTTGTTCCTATTAACTTCATTGGTAATGTTCTGCCGCGGTCCTACCGCGGTCCTACGGTAACCGCGGTTTTTCACCCTGTTCCGTTTGGAATTTAGAAAAACGTAAAACATGAAAGTTGTAGCCCTTTGAGTTATCTTTTCAACCATATATTGTGGATCCCAAATGGAGTTCTGAGCAAAAGGTTATGTCTATTTTACTAGACAGTGCGCAATATGCCTCATCGAGTCTTCGTTTGATCTCAACTATCAAATTTGATCCCCGAACACGATCCCGGCTTAATTCCTTGAGCTTTTACTCAGACTCCAAAGCTTCAAATCACTTAAATTCATTCCATAACATCTATATATCTCGTAATCACTCCGACAAGGCATAAAATACACAATTAGTGCAAAACACTAGCGATTAAAGCGCAAACTCAACTAAAGTGCGGTAAATTAGAGTGTAATAAGCGACTAAAATACGTAATTATAGCTTATCATTAGTTGACAAGCCCCAACCCTTGGGCAAATCTGAACCAATAAAAAATATAAGTTATAAAACGTGCTAATCATGGCTACAAGTCAGTTTTTCAAAAAAATAATTGTCCAAATGCCCTCATGTGCACTGCACACTTGTGCCTGTAGCTCAGATGCGCTCAAGACTTGCATTGCGCCAAGTCTTGGAGCCTGCTTTGAAATCCATCCGTTGTGCCAAGCTACCTACAAGCCTTGGCCAGCCACTCTCGTGCCTTTGTGCACATGCTAGTGCCTTGTCTTTGCCATGTCATGCCATGGCCTTGTCTTGCCTTGCCTTGCCCATGTCTTGCCTTGCTTTGCCTTGCCCGTGCCTATGCCTTGGCCCAGCCTTGGCATAGCTTTGCCTTGCCATTGTCTTGCCAACCCCCACATCCATGTGAAATGCGCCTTGCCTCCATCAAGGTGCGTTTGTCAACCCCGCACAGTCCGTCATGCCGAGTCGACCGTCAATGATGTTGCCCCATCGTTTCAGGTTGTGCCAAGGCCATCATGAAAATCCTTGTCATAACCCACTCTTACCAAGGGACCTTGTCAAGGGGCTAATAGTAGGCCACACACTTGGTGCTTTATTTAGCCAATCGTCACGAATTAATATTGGTTTCTTATCATTTCAATGAGGATCCCCACGGATTAGTAATTGCAGAGAAAGATTATTGTTGTACTTTTGATCTCCTAATTTTCACTTAATCATTAAAAGCTAAATTAGCCTTCAGATATATGTTAGATCTAAGGATCTGGATATGTTGCCCTCTTTTCTTTTGTTTGTTTAATTGGATAGTTGCGGGACCACTTCTTAAGATTTCTTCTAAGGTAGTTGCAGAAATTAGAAGGAAAATAAATATTCCTTCTTCAACTTGAACTCACACACAAGAATGTTTGTAGAGTTGAAGGTTGCAATGTGAACAAATAAAGTAAAGCTTTTTATTTTTTAGATGAATACTGATGCACATTAATAATGTATACAGCTTTATTAGTTACTTGAAAGAATCAACTAGCTAGAACTAAACAAAGGCTAACTACTGTTATTGAGGAGGTGATCTGATGAGAGGTTCAGATGAACCAGAGAAACTAGGACATTGCACTGCTGGTTTAGGATTCGATACCGATCCATTTCCTAGATGATTAGGCTTCTCGAAATCTTCATTTTCGTGCGTAATTTCCGTTAGCATTGCCGCTACGTCCTTCATTGTTGGTCTTTCATCCGGGCACGGATTAACACAAAGGAGTGCCACCCCAAGAACTTGTAGCATCTCCTGAGTTTGTGTACCAGACCTTAAAAGTAATTGCTGATCAAGAATTGTTGTGAATTCCTTGTGTTTTACTCTTAGCTCCTGATTTACCCAAGTAACAATGTGGGCGCCTTCTGGTATCCGGGAATCGGTTGGTTCCATCCCTGTTAGGACCTCAAGAAGCACAATGCCGTAGCTATAGACATCACTCTTCTCAGTTACTCTGAGACTATATCCATATTCTGCAATGCAGGACCAAAACATTTAGAATGCTATCCAAATTTAGTACTCATACCCTATTTATTCTCACAATACGTCTGTGCACAACACATTTCGCGGGGTACAAGACTAATATAGTGAGCTTAAAGTGTTTTTTAAAGCTAATATTCAAGAGTACTTGCATAATGTTATGTAAAATGTTTAGCACATAGCAAAGCTATATCTGAATAATTAATCTGTTATAATGAGATATCTAAATATTATGAATGATGTTTTTGCGTGAAAATTTTAAGAAAATGTACTTACCAGGAGCTATATATCCATAGGAACCAGCTATTATGGTGGAAGCTCTTGAAGTATCTGATGATGTATTTAAGAGCTTTGCAAGTCCAAAATCTGCAAGAAAAGCTTCAAACTGTGGACCAACCAAAATGTTATTGGCCTTGATATCGCGATGGACTATAGGAGGAATACAGTCATGGTGAAGATAAGCTAAACCCTGAGCTGCTCCTAATATGATATTATACCTAGCATCCCAATCCAGAAATACTCTCTTCTCATGTAGCAGTCCTGCTAAACTCCCATTACTAATGTAATCAAACAAGAGCAATCTTGTTTTGCCATTATTACAGCATCCCAAAAGCCTCACTATGTTTTTGTGCCTGATTGATCCCAGTGTTCTAACTTCTGCAGAAAAATAATCCCTCTGTGGAACCTCACCAACTTTCTTAGGCAGTAGTTTCTTCACTGCGATCACCTGTCCTGATGGAGTTTCAACACGATAAACAAAACTGGAGCAACCCTTTCCAACAATGTTAGATTCACTAAGTCTTGGCACTACATCATTTACAGAGAAGCTAAGCTTTCGGAATGGGATAAATTCCCACTCCAAACCATTTTCTTCATCGTCTCTCTGGCATATCTCTCCTTGAGCTCGGATAAATATGGCAATACAAGCTGTCAAAATTAGCATGGCCATGAAAATGCTGAGTACAATAGCAATGGTGATCCTTCTAATGGATTTTAATCGATGATGATTTCCACTTAAATGACATGCATCTCTGTTGGTGCAGAGCTCTTGATTACCAATAAAAACACTGGTAGGAAGATCCTGAAAGAATTTGGTGTTAGGAAGAACCCCAGAAAAATTATTGTAAGAAACATTCAGAGAAACAAGATTGTCAAGGTTACTGAGTACTATAAGACTTCCACTCAACATGTTATGAGAGATATCCATGTTGGCTAGCTTGGAAAAGTTTGAGAAACTTTCAGGAAGCGGTCCGCTCAAAAAATTCCGACTTAAATTTAACAGAATATCTAGTCCCTGTAGGTGACCAATCTCTGCAGGGATTAAGCCTGTGAGTCTGTTGCTGCTCAAATCTAACAGCTGCAAATCCTCACAAAGTCCAAGTGATTTGGGAACCATTCCATCTATGTTGTTCCCGTTCAGTATGAGCTTGTTCAGTGATGTGAGTTTCCCTACATCTTCTGGGATGTTGCCTGATATTCTGTTCATGGAAATATCTAATACATTAAGAGCAGTGAGAGACACAAAAGAGGAAGGAATTGTTCCTTGAAGCTTGTTTCCATGAAGATCAACCATTTCTAGCTGTCTACAGTTGCCAATAGCCGGAGGAATTGATCCAGTGAATTGATTTTCGGACAATTCAAGAAAACTCAAACTCGGTAGCTGGCCTATTTCTGGAGGAATTTGACCATCTAACCTGTTTGATCCGAGGCGTAATCTGGATAAGCTTGTGCAATTTCCAATATCAGGTGGAATTCCACCAGATAGAACATTTGATATCAGCAGCAGCTTAGTTAAGTTCCTGAGATTGAATAAAGTTTTCGGAATTGACCCTGTAAGGAAATTGTGAGAAAGATCCAAAGACTGAAGTTTCCAACAATCGGCCAGCTCAGTTGGTATGCTCCCGTGCAGTTGATTCTGCCACGCGAAAAACAGATTTAGTTCCTTCAGATTCCCAATGTTAGGTGGGATCACACCTGAAAAATTATTGTTGTCCAATTCAAGTTGCTTCAAGCTGGAAAAGTTGCCAATATAGTATGGGATTTCACCAGAAATGCTGTTATCTGATAATAGAAGCTCCTCCAATGTACCTAAGTTTTCAAAAGACGGAGGAATTTCTCCAGATAAATAGTTCAAAGAGAAATCAATAACTTTCAAACTTGAACAGTTTCCAAGATTTCCTGGAAGTTCCCCTCTCAGATTGTTCTGCCAAAGCAAAACCTTCTTAAGATTCTTCAGCTGACCAAGTTCACTGGGAATTTCTCCTGAGATTTGATTCTCATAGATAAACAATTCCTCTAAAGAAGTGCAGTTCCCTATTTGTGGAGGGATTACACCAGTCAGATTTGCTGTGTAAACTGCAAGTGTCTGCAGCTTCTTGAGTTCACCTATACTATGTGGAATCTGACCCGAAACACCGGTATCTGCAAGTCCTAAAATGACTAACTCTTTGCAGTTTGATATCTGCATTGGGATTTCTCCTCGAATTCCCTCGTTCCCACCAGCACGAAAGACTTGAAGACTCGTTAACTGGCCGATTTCTTCAGGTATCTTTCCAGTAAGCTGGTTATCAAAGAGCTCAAGCTGCTGCAGTTCTGAGCAGCTTCCTATCTCCTTTGGTATCTGACCTTGAAGGAAATTGGAACTCAATGAAAGTTGCTTCAGTTGTGATAATCTTCCTATTTCAGGTGGAATACTTCCTGTTAGAGCATTAAAACTGAGATCTAAAATTCCCAGAGATGATGACAAGTTTCCAATGGAAGTTGGAATTTCACCAGTGAGGTTACAATTTGAGAGGATTAGAACTTTGAGGAAAGGAAAAGAAAGAACTTGAGTTGGAAATGTTGTGGGAACATTAATGGACCTGATCTTGATATCTGAAACAAAGCCATTTCTGTTGCATTGGATATAATCCCATTTGCATGGATTTTCGTGACTTGGATTCCATGAAGTGAAGGATGTAACAGTAGAGGAAGAGATAAAAGTGGAAAGCCAGGACATTAAAGAAAGCCCTTCTTGATTTAAACCAGAAATGGCAGTAGGGAACAAAGATGTGTTCAGAAACAAGAAGAATAAGGTAATTGTTAGTTTGCTTGACATGATTATAGTGATGATGAGACTCTGTATGTACTCTGTTCTACTGTACTTATATGTCAGCTTCCTCTTGCCAAATGCAGTCATTAAAGTTTATCTGCAATGATTTCCTTATCATGGTTACTGGTGTTGGAAAGGCACCAGAATTTTGCAGGAATTATTATGTAAAAGAAATGGAATTTTCAGAAATTGTTTTCCTCCAAATATACCTGTCTTCAACTAGATTCATTGTCAAGATTGACACTTGACAGTGTAGGACAGGGTTGGGATAGAATGGTATTATTGCAGTGATGGTTTGGAAGATTTTGTTTGTACAAATATACCTTCTTGCTGTTTATTGTCTATATGTATTGTGATAAGTTTTTGTCTCCACACAGTATGGCTACTTTTTGCTATTACACCCTTCATTTCTTCAAGTTTTTGAACCTCATCCTCCCCTCTCTCTACACCAATATCTTATCTCCCTTTTTGTTTGTTTGTTTGTTATTTGTGCCTAATAGAAGAACTTTTATTAATAGCTGAAAATTAAGTAGAGTTAGTATAATATGGAACTAATCCTAACGATTCAGTCCCTAAATTGTCTTCGCGAAATACTAAAGAAGTAAAATAAAGGTGGTTCGTCCCAAAATAAGTCTTCCTATACATCATTATGTGAGGCCCAGGTACTCTCAAAATGAGTCTTCACGCTCTGCATCTTATCTCCTTGATAAAGCCTAGTAGTAAAAATTGCAGGGGCGCCCTATTTGGTCGCCCCCATTTAACCTATACTCATTTTTTTTTTAAAAAGTTTTAACTTGTACCCACTTTTTAAACAACTTCAGCCCCCTTTCTTCTCCTCCTTCGTTTTCATCTTCTTTCTTCTGCTGATGTTGGTGCTGCTATGAAACTTCATTTCATGGGATGCTTGCCATAAGTATGTTTATCAGATTATTTAAAAACAAATTATAAATAATTATGTAAGTTAGTAGACAATAATTTGTGAATATTTCCACGTACGAGAAGTTTAAGGTCACACTTAGTGATTCTTTTCATGATAATTCTGTTCTTTTCACGTTTATTGTTTCCAAATTTTATGATTTAGATACTGTTGGCAATCTGATTATTTTATAGTAGTAATACACTATGAAAGAATAAGGTGATTATTTATCTAGTATGTTAAAAAGCTTTTTCAAAAACTTCAGCTTATTTAATGCTAAAGTTTTTACAAATGAACTAAATAACTTCAACATCTTCTGCTGAAGTTTTTCAAAAACCTTTATGACAAAACTAATGAATCCAGGACAAAAAAACTTCACCTTATTTAGTGCTGAAATTTTTATAAATGAACTAAATAACTTCAGCATCTTCTGCTGAAGTTTTTGAAAAAGCTTATCCAGGACAAAAAAATATCAGCTTATTTAGTGCTTAAGTTTTTACAAATGAACCAAATAACTTTAGCATCTTTTGCTGAAGTTTTTGAAAAAGCTTATCCAGGACAAAAAAAACTTCAGCTTATTTAGTGCTGAAGTTTTTACAAATGAACTAAATAACTTCAGCATCTTCTGCTGAAATTTTTGAAAAAGCTTATCCAGGACAAAAAAACTTCAGCGCATTTAGTGCTGAAGTTGTTACAAATGAACAAAATAACTTCAGCATCACAAAACTCAGCTACTAGAATGCTTAAGTTCAGCGATTACAAATAAAAACTTCAGCAAATAGAGAACATAACTTCATCACTAGAATGCTTAAGTTCAGCAATTACAAACAAAAACTTCAGTTAAAATATCATGGTATAGCCAGTTTTCACACTGGTCAATGAAAAATAGCCAGCGTTTATCAAGTCAATGAAAAATAGCCACTATTTTGCTGCAACAGGGACCGGTCCAGTGTAATATACGGGAGTTCTGGTGCATTTGTGTACGAACTCCAGCATATTATGCTGGACCGGTATACTTTGCTAACTCCTGTAAAATTTGCGGGAGACTGGAGCACCAGTGCTCCAAACTCCAGTATATTATACTGGACAATTATACTTGCTGGAACTCCCGTAAAATTTGCGGGATTATGCTTGAACTCCCGTAAAATTTGCGGGAGTTCCAGCATAGTTATCCTGGAACTCCCGTAAAATTTACGGGAGTTCAAGCATACATATGCTGGAACTCCCGTAAAATTTGCGGGCGTATTTTTCCGGATTTTGAACAGTGTTTTCGCTCAGATTTAAAGTGGCTAAATTTCGATGACTTTTGAAACTTGGCTATTTTTCAACGACCAGTGGTAAATCTGGCTATTTTTGAATTTCTCCCAAAACTTCAGCACACTTGGTTCAGCAATTTTTGCTACTTCAGGCCCGTCTACTAGAATGCTGAAGTTTTGCTTGATTGCCTTTGCTACTTTAGCCCTGTATGGTGAAGTTACGCGAAAAAGTGGGTACGCTTGCAAATTTTTTAGCAAAGCGGGCACAAGTTAAAACGTGACCCAAAAAGCGGATATAGATGCAAATGCCCCAGCCTAGTAGTGTGGAACTTTATCTTTTATTTTAACTTCGGGGGAAATTCAAAAATAGCTAGATTTATAAGTGGTAATTGAAAAATAGCTACAGTTTCAAAAGTAATCGAAATTTAGCCACTTTTAACGTAAAGATAAATCTGAACAAAAACACTATTCAAATCCGAAACATATTCCAGCATAATATGCTGGAATTTCATAATGTGCTGGAGTTCCAACATAATATGCTGGAAGTTTATACACAGGTGCTCCAATCTCTAGTATATTATAGTGGAACGCTAGCTATTTTTTCAATTACTAGTCCGAAAACTAGCTAGCTATTTTAGCTTCAACTTCTTATTGGTAATATGTTTTATTGTATCCATCAAGACTACTTCCTCCGGTCTTTAAATATGGAGTAGTAGTTTTGACAAAATATATTTGTTTTAAATATTTGATGTTTTAGAAAAACAAGTCATGTATTACTTTCTTTGCTAAATCTACGGTTATTGTTTCATTTAATGGAGTCCTAATTACGCAAGACGAGATAAAAGTAATTTAGAAAGATACTATTATAATAAGGTTATTAAATATCTTTTTAAGAGGTGTGAAAAATCCTAAAATAAATAATGCGATTTCGAGAGAACAAAATTGGAGATCTCATGCTCAATATAGGTGAAGTCTCAGTAATCATCATTACGTAGAAGAGAGAGTTATAATATTCTACGTTCAGTTGGAAAACATAAACGTTTGCCGACTACTGCAAGATGTATTTGTCGATATCGAAGGTCACAAACTCAAGAAACCAATTTGCTTCATCCTTTGATCCTTTCCCTTTATTTTGTGTCTTTTTCCACTTTGGTGAGACAAGTGCTTAGCACAACTAATCCTTCATTAAGGGATTAAGAATCCAATAATCAGGATTTTATCTTGAGTTGAAGTGTCTAATTACTAAACTAACGAGAAGGACACGTCACCACTATAAGGAGATGCATTTCAGACCATATCCTTATTAATGGACTTGTATATAATTCAATAATTATAAGAAGCTCACTAAATCTTTTTTCTTTTTCTTATAATAAAGTTGTCCCTACCATGGGACAGATAATCTTAGGGCAACCATCCCTCAACAAAGTGTAAAAGCCCATTCTTTTTCCCATTCATGAACCTTCCCAAGAAACCATATATGAACCCAGGCATGGCTTTTTTTCAACACATGTACTCATTGCTCCCCTTTCTACACTATTATTAACTATGAGATCCGTTTTAGCCAATTCGTTACATAGACAATGGAGATTAATTATTTCTTTAACATAATATTTCAACGTTTTTTGCATTTCGCACCCCCCCCCCCCCCCCCCC